GTTACCGTCCCCGATAACTATATTTTTTTACCGGCAGATATCCTGTATTCTGTCATTTCGAATACCGCCGTTTCGAATACCGTATCTAGTGGATAATTTCGAAATTAATCAACGTTATTTAACCCTTTAGGTAGTGAAGGGATTCTCGGCACCAAGCCTTTACATACGAATATATATGACGACGGTTAATATATCCGTAGACAAAGGGTTGACGAAAGCCCTGTCCCAGCCATAATTTAGCATGGAAATTCAATTTAGCTCGCAGTTTGAGTTTTGAAACATACGTAAATTGTTTATTGTTAAATGAAGTTTTACGCACCAAAATAAACATCACCGTTTAATTTCATTATTTGCCTTCCCTCTGCTTGTCTTGATATACCTTGTGATTCAACTGCTAGGTATAAAATTAAAATTTAATGGGTAAAAACTTAGAATTTATTTATTGTGTAATCTTCGCTGTCAGGAAAAATGAAATAAATTTTATGCATAATAGATCATTTATTGCACTGGTAAATAAATTGTGTAGGTGTTTAAAAATCTTAGAATTATTCCACAAACGCAGACTTGATGACATTTCACTACCTTCATCGCTACTATTGATTGCTTAAGCCAAGACGAAAGACATCATACCGCACTTCTGATGAGGATTCAAGATTAATCTTCTGAGCTGATTTAATATCATGAGCAGGTGAATCCTATCTGGTTAATGAAGATAATCGAAAATATTTTCATGGTCAAACAATTATTCGTTAATTCTAAGAATATCCAAAATGTTCATTTTCACGTTGAACATTTTTCAATTCTCTTCAATTCGACATTTAATAGTAGCGGTTTCAGCGTTTAGTAGGCCGTAGGCCTGTCGCCGATTCTTAACATCGCAGAATATTCACAGCTTGTTGCGGTCTCGAACTCACAACTCACTGATTCAAATTCTGCGGTGCTTAACCGCCCGGCCTCCTCGCCGATTCTGACCACAAACTGGCGCACAGAGCTGGGATCGAACCCGCACCTCTCTGCTCCAATCCTGGCACTCAGGGGCTATACTTTCAAAAAAAGTTAAGAGATCGTAAGTTCATCAGCCAATCATTGACGGCCTTTCAAGCAAAATCCACCTATCATAGACAAGCAAGATAGAGCGTAAGTACTTACGTTCACTTAGCGAGTTTTGAAAGTATGGCCCCTGAACTGTAACCACTGTGCCACCCTGCCCTTCCATTCAATTTTCAGCTCACCGTATCCGAGATTGATTCTATGAAATTATAGACACTCACATTTGTTTTTCTTTTTCTGAATAATTAGCATGTTTGTTCATGTCAATGGCCACAGTTTTAATCCATTTTTGTCCTGAAATTTCACAACTAGTTACGAGTTTCGAACCGCCAAACCTCCGCTCGGATCAGGGTGATCTTAACCATCCAGCCAGCAACTGCTAGCGGATTATCATTCGTCACTAATTAACTAATAATCCGTATAGGTGCTTTTGTCTCTCTATTTAATCTCAGTGTGAGATTAAATACAATAATTATAAAGGAACTGATATGCCGATCGCCTTTGCTGGCAACCATTTCAGCGGCGGATTATTTGTTTATAATTATTATATTAGATTCATATTTAAAAATGACATTAATATAGTACCTATACATATAGATGATGGTACAAATGTATACGTATAAATGAGCGTACATATGTATATATACGTACAAATGATTGAAATTTAACTCATGATTTCTCTTGAGAAAGGCTTAAATGTTAATTACAAACTTATGCATAGAAGTGACTGAAAAGTCACTCATAATTGCTATATAAAGAATTTTCCAAATTGGACCCCAAAAAGAATTATATATCATATTAAATAGGGACAAACATGCTGATAATATGGAGCATATTATTGATTGTGATTATTGTAAAACGAGTACAGAATTCGAAACCACAATGTACTAATTATGCATAATAATGATGCACTATAATAAATTGTATATATTAGTTGCACAAATCGTTGGTATTGGAACCAAACTCACCTCTTATAGTTTGTAGAGAAAGCATCATATAAAAACTGATTTTAATTCCACACAACTTAATGACGAGATATAGGCACAAGCGTTAAGTGATATAAGCGTACGCATACTTGTGTAATTAACCTATAATTAACTACTATATGACAATATACTATATATGATGCTATACTTCTAACTAATAAAATACACGAAATAAATCTTATTCATTACATCATACAGGATGTGCAGCAAAATTGTGTTCGTGCATCCTGGAATTTTTTTTTATCACAGCAATTATGTATAGGAACTCTTCTGACCAAATAAATATGGGGCAAAAATGTTCTAGAGCACATAAATATAATTCCAAATATATTCAGAGCGTCAGTTTATGTCACCGATTTTTAATAACCCTGGGCTTCATTATTCATGATATTTTGCTTATTCAAATAACCTTTATAATAATAATTAGAATTTTGTGCAGTATGAAGCTTCGGTCGACAATATTGGTCATGCTCCTTCCGATCTGAGTAGCACTGAATAGTGCTACCACTACTCAGTGTTACTATATACTACTCAGTGCTACCACTCCTCAGTGCTGCCACTGCTAAGTGCTACCACTACTCAGTGCTACCACTGCGCGGAGTCTACGGATCAACAACAATTATTATCTCTAAGATAAAAGCTTTCGTGGTCCCCAAATGATTACAATTATGCTGCGATCATTAATAATATAATTCTTTTGATACGCACGTTTTCGATAAGTGTGTGTTTCTAAAACTTAAATGGGGAAAAAAGGTTGTTTAGATATAGAGTTGCTTACATAAGGCTACGTCATGAACAAATACTAAGGAATAAATATTCATGTCTCTCGCTTCTTGTAAACTAACTAACTAAAAACTCGCTCCTGCCTAATTCCAAATTCAGAATGTTTACTTTACACTTGAATTTATTCAGTTTATGATACACTACTCTGAAATTTTGTCGGATTAAAAACACGAATGAATTTTTCTTTGATTCAAAATAACGAAAACACGTTAGCACCATGTACGTTTTTCTGTTTTTTTTTTATACGAGAAGTGACCAATATCCACAAAATACATAGCGTGAGCTGAATATGTCTGGAAAAATTCACTAGTCTGAATAATTCTTATATATACTTGTCTTCTATGCCAGACTAAATTTTTTCATACTGTAAATTTTATCATTTATTGATTAATTTATTTGCATATTCAGGAAATGAATAGGTAATATTGTAGAATGCAGGGTTAATATGAATAAAGTGAGTCGATATTTGGACATAGTCTCTATAATATTTCTGAGTTCACCTTTATTGACTTATTATACATTAAATAAAAATATAAAATGATTCCCGATATTTATTGAGCCAGGTTTCCGACAATTAGCTAATATATACACGCTGATATTCTTAAGTTACCAAATATATTTAAAATTTTAAATCAAAACTTAGAATTACGGAGAACTCTGGAACTATTAAAATATTAAATAAATTTGCTGTATTTTGGTTCACAACGCTTTCAGTGAATATACGGTGAGTTTTATCAGCATCCTTGCTGTTAAATTATTTTTGAATTTTTGCGATTTTTGCAATAATATGATATTGATATTTTTAAATTAAGATACGCATTATCTCTAATCTAGGCACCGCCGCTTTCGACACTCAGTTCAGATTAATTGATAAATTGATGATGATTAGTTAATCAATCATTAAGTAATACACTTATCAATTAGTGAGATTAATTGATAAGTGTAGATATTTACAAGAAGCACTTTATAATTAACTTGTTGATAACTTTCTAGCGATTCATCAGCTCAATCTGGTCACCTAGATGTTTCCTTCCGATTAATAATTTATTAAAAATCTAAATATAATAAATAAAATCTAAATATTTCTAACTTCTGGAATATAGTTTAATCTATTTTGTGTCAAGGTAACCAAAATTATGACCAAGATGACCAAAATTGTAATCAAGATAATAATATTGTAACCAAGATAATAATATTATGACCAAGGTGACCAAAAATTATGACCAAGATAATAATATTGTAACCAAGATAATAATATTATGACCAAGATGACCAAAATTATGACCAAGATGACCAGTATTGTAACCAAGATGACCAATATTATTATCAGATGACCAAAAATTATGACCAAGATGACCAGTATTATGACCAAAATAATAATATTGAAACCAAGATAACAATATTATGACCAAGATGACCAATATTACGACCAAGATGACCAGTATTATGACCAAGATAATAATATTGTAACCAAGATACCAATATTATGACCAAGATAACAATATTATGACCAAGATGACCAATATTTAGACAAATACGACCGTTGAGCTGCCACAAATATCGTAATCTTATCACATGGTAAGCTTCGACGTAACCAAGGTAACAACAATCAATATTGTATCCTCCTGGTCGACTCGGAATCCTTCACTAATCCTTCACTCATTACACCTTTTATTAATTAAATTACGTCTAAGCATTAATCACAACAATCCTTTACAATTATCTATTATATCCATTCATTCGGTTCTTCTTGAGGAATTTTTAAGCATCCGTCATAAAAAAATTTAGCAAAATCGCAATGTGCAATAATAAAAAATTAGCAGGCCGTTATAGATAAATTTTATGTTTAATTTACTTGATATTAGAGAAAAAAACGGGAGAAAGAATGAAAAAAATTAGCAGGCCGTTATAGATAAACTTTGCGTTTACTTTCCTTGAGATAAGAGAAAAAAACGGGGAAAATAATGAAAAAAACTAGCAGGCCGTTATAGATAAAATTTGCGTTTACTTTACTTGAGATAAGAGAAAAAACGCGAGAAATAATGAAACCTAGCAGGCCGTCGTTGACTTTACTTGAGATAAGAAAAAAAGCGGGGGAAAAAACTAGCAGGCCGTTATAGATAAACTTTGCGTTTACTTTACTTGAGATAAGAGGAAAAAACGGGGGAAATCACCGCGCTCTCATACGGGAACTTCTCTTGCTTGTGTCCGGTGGCCGGGGGCTGGTGGAAGGCGGGGGGGCCGGGGGCTGGGGGTCCGCGTGCTGCGGCTGATAAAAAAACCATAATAATAGTAAATAAATAATAAATAAACTTGATAAACGGTAAAAATAGAAAAAAATTAACATAATAAACGATGGTGATCGCGTGAGTAATTTCGCGAATTATTCAAACAAGGAACTTTTTTTAACCAAATACTTTTTTTAAATAAGGAATATATGTAAGTGATACAAATTCTTTAAAACACAATATCGTAGGAATTTGTATTCATTTTGAAATAGGCGAAACAGATCTAATGAATTATCACTATTTTTTTTACACCTAAAGCAGGTTTTTATTAGCAATTTTAATTGCGATCTAGAACTTTGAGAATTTTGCCATCAGGTTTAAGTTATTTTTTATCAAACGTAAGGTGGAGCGCAAGTTAGAACATTAAATGTGATGAGTAAAGCATGAAAACGCTTATAAGTTCCGTAATCCGATTAACCTATATCAATAGGAATAACAGTACAATAATGCCCTGACATTTAATACATTATATAAGAATGGAGGTGCTAAAATGATCGACTGATATCGCATCCAAAACAAGGTAACCTTATCAAAAGATACGTGTCCTGTATTTTGAAATATTAATATACATGCCCTGCTACATGCCCTTCGAATTTTACCCATCGACTTTGAAATTAGTAAATTCATTTTCAATGGCTCTGAAAGATTTGCAACCGTCGTGTGAAGTAACCAATCAGCTAGTGTAAAATTATTCTTTTGACCTTACATAACGAATTTTAAACTGTTTGATAAATGCCTTCATATTACGACAGTTAATCAAAAAGGATCAGTTGAATTGATAGGTTAAACCTGATCTCGAAGCACTTGTGTTTGTCAAGCTTTTAGGGATGAATGACTGGACCTGTTAGCGCCGTGCTAAGGCAAGGCCGACATAGAAGCCTTACTTAGAATCTTTCACAGCCCCGTTTACATTCACAATAAACCAATTCCAAAACACCGAGCAGACATTACGTTATAATTTACCTTGGTATATGACTACCGTGATAAACTGTATGAGAAAATAAAGTTTACAATCAGTCTTGATTGGCATAAGAAAAGCTCTAAGATATATATGGGCCACAGCTGTACTGCGGCAGAGAGTAAACGATACGTTGCCGATAGCGTTTCTGGCCAGGAACTTTACGATGACAGTACGTCAACATTGCCTAGTTACTCACTTAACCTAGTTACCTAGCATAAACATAAGGAAAATTTACCTAGCATAAACATATAGAACCTAGTTACCTAGATAAACATGAAGAAGATTTACATAGCATGAACATATAGAAACTAGTTACCTAGCGTAAACATGAGGAAGCTTTACCTAGCATGAACATATAGAAATTAGTTACCTAGCATAAACATGAAGAAGATTTACCTAGCATGAATATATAGAAATTAGTTACCTAGCATAAACATATAGAAATTAGTTACCTAGAATAAACATAAGAAGATTTACCTAGCATGAATATATAGAACCGAGTTACCTAGCATAAACATAAGGAAGATTTACCTAGCACGAGAGTGCAGCCTGGGGCTCACTGGGGGCTGTGACTGGGATCTGGCAGGCCGTGCGTTGGGAAGTAGCCACACTTGGTGGCGGGAAGCGGCGTTCATTGGGGATGGAGGCCGGGAAGTTACAGGTGATCGAAAATTGAGCGGAGATTGATTTGGAGAACGAGAATTGTTTAGTGCTGTCGCAGGCCTTGTTGGTGAAGGAGGTGAACGCAATGAAATGTTTCTGTGCACGCTTAATGCCGAAGAAAGTTGGGCTTGAGAGCCGGCAGAGGGATACATTGTCTCATTATGAAACGCGGACCGAGCGCGAGATTCCGGAGATGAGGGCTGAGATCGAATGGAGTGCGAAGACGATGAGAAGCACATCGATGTATGGATACTTCTTGGAGATTGTCCTCTGGAGGGTCCCGGTGACATCGTGGGTGGGTTGGGAGATAGTGGTCTCGTGTAACTTGAAGGCCGAAGACGAAGAGGAGATGGTTCCCGAGATGGGTTCAGAGACCTAGTAAATTTAGGTGACCCAGGTCCAGAATTCGTGTTGGGACGTCCAGGAGAAAAGCTTCTCTGGAACCTACGAGAAGATCTGTTAGGAGAAGGCGATCTCGAGAAGTTTGGCGAGTGTGTCGGCGGTAAGGGCGATGATGGTCGAGATATGAGGGGCGAAGGCGTGTTCACAACTCCTTGTCGGGTGCGGAAAATGTTGAGAGGGACGTAATCGGACTGATCTTCGCAGTCTGAGGCGTGAAAAAGGTAATTACTGCTCTGCGGGAACTCGATGGGTTGGAATGTTGAGAAAGAAATGCTTGACAGTGAAGTGGAAGACAAAGAGTGGACTGACCGCCCAAAAGGACGTGCGATGAAAGAACAAGATGACGATGCTGACGAAGATTTACTCAAGGTACCCTGAGGAGGAGTCGATGGAGAATTGTTTTCGTAGTCACTTAGATTTGTGTCTAGAGTTTCAGTGCGTGAACATGAGCCTACTTCTCTGGTGTCGGTGCGGTCAGGGAAATGCGACAGAACTAAAGAAGCTGTGCTTATGATCGTCGTCTCAATTGGAATATCGCCTGGGGACAGTTGCTCCATTTGTTGTTGTTTCGGCCAAATTTCGTATTGTTCTGGTGTGTCTTGATGCGGCCTTCCATCCAAAGGTTCATGTCGGTTAAAGGTGACTGGCGGAGACATGCAGGAGCTCGCAATGTTTGCACCTGACGAGTTCATCTTAAATCTGGTTTGTTTAACGCATCACTTGGTTTTGGGGAAATCGGGACAGATAAACATGTCCAGGCATATAGAACAAAAACAATATTTATTGAGAACTCAAATTTGTTGATGCCGAATAAGAAGTAGATTGAACTAAACTGTTTAGCTGATAATTTTAGAGCAATAAGTATGTTTTATTGTTTCTGAAAAAGAGCATAAAAAATTCAATCAAAAAATCAGACCCATCTTACTTGGGATAAAATTGAATTCCAACTTCAACAGCGCACACTATCACATAAGATTGAATAATTCAAAATTGAACTATGAATCTCGCATGTCATCGTGAATCAGTCCCGCAGACACTGATCTTAATTGAAGCAATTGTTTTCCTTAATTAGTTATAACATATTTTATTAAATAATAACATGTTATATAATGGATGGATAATTATATATTATTATCCATCTATTGAACTATTAAACCAGATTTAAAGATAATGGATTCGGATTGAGCAGGAAAAATGTGCAGGATTTTTATGTTAGTTTCTCATTGATTGCTTTCAAAAGGCGCCGTATGCTGACGACAATTGCGTTCATACGACAATTGCGTTGGTTTCACCATTGCGTTCGTACGACAATAGCGTTCGTACGACAGTTGCGTTCGTACGACAATTGCGTTCGTACGACATTTGCGTTCGTACGACATTTGCGTTCGTTTGACAATTGCGTTCGTACGACAATTGCGTTCGTACGATAATTGCATTCGTACGACAATGCGTTCGTACGACAATTGCGTTCGTACGACAATTGCATTCGTACGACAATTGCATTCGTACGACAATTGCATTCGTACGATAATTGCATTCGTACGACAATTGCATTCGTACGACAATTGCATTCGTACGACAATTGCATTCGTACGACGATTGCATTCGTACGACAATTGCATTCGTACGACAATAGCGTCTCGTGCTGAAGAAATATTAAGGTTACCAGGGAGTGGTCGACGAATTGAATTTACTTTGACATAAAATTCTTGTATATTACCAAATAGCTTTGTTGATACTCGTATTTATGTACACAGAAACAATATCATTGTAATTACAACGTTATAGTTAATTTTCGCCTGATAAATAAATTCTATGTGATTTTTCTGCATGGAATAGTGTAATGATTCTTAAATCAATTACGGTATTTTCTAGTCAAGAGAAAATCATTGAATGTTGCATTTTTCAAATCGTGATGTCAGTATAGAGGAAAATCAATAATATACAAATTTATTATTGATGTAAAAATTAGTAGAAATGAATAAGGCAAGTTCAAAACTTGACTGTACGTAATTTGATTTATCCTGTTCCCACTTGACCCTTATTTTGCTCTCGTGACGACACGATATTTGATGTTGTTGAGCTAGAAAATTTCTTCAGTAAACTAACGTAGTCGAAAACTGGTAAATTGAGAGCGCGTGAGTGGAAGTCGTGTTGGACAGGGCAATTCTAGCCTGAAAAAATTGCGGAACGAAATTTTATTTGCAATCTCTCAAGGTGAAGGTGATTATGAAGGGAATATTACCATAACACTGATATGGCATATTATTTTTATTTATATATTTCCAAAAAAATGTATTTTTTCTGGTACTGCCATGTTGCTCAACATGCTCGATTAATATTTGTTTCAACTTTTGCGGTTAGTATATTCTTCTATTTCTTTAACTACAGATTTGGCAGTATGTCTTGTCGGATAATCGGAGAGGACTGATTCGCGCAAATTATCCTTAACCATTTCGATTACACCTTTAATAATGATCGCAATTATATCCCACTGTGAATTGCGATATGAAGGATCGCAATTATATCCCACTATTTCATTTTTCCAGTTTTTTTAAAACATTTTTCAATACCTGATTAAAGTATCAATTTGCGCCATAATATTATCGTACAGAGACGTGAGTTTTACAGACGGCGAATTACAACTCTCAGGAAATTAGGGTTAAATTTAACCCTCTACCGCGTGACACGAGTAACCGGAGCAATATTGTCACGCGCCTACTTATCAAAAAAGCATACGTTCTAGTGAGCGCAAAATGACTTGCCCTGATGGTTGCCGCCACGTACGACAACTTTAAAATGTTCTCTGTTGCGTACAAACGTCCTCTGGTTACTATGTTGCTACACTCAATAGTTTACGTATAATTGCATGTTCCTCGAGGAGTCCGGTAGAGGGTTAACCAGAGACCAGAGATTAAACATCTAGTATTACTAAGTATATTACTGGACGACTGAAGTATTACTAAGTGTATCTGGTCACGTATAGATACTTTTTGTGAAGGCAATTTGAACCTACTAATATCACGAACTGGGCTTGATAACGAGGCGCATCGTGGGTTAAATTGACTTCCTCTTTGGGTAATTTATTCGGGGATTTATTTATTATTGCTTGAATAACCGCTAATGACAATTAATTGAGTCATCGCCTAAAAAAATCGCAGCGCTGAAATAGAAGCGATATGTTTTGCAAAATTAAATGCGAATTTTCAAGTAATATTTTATTAAATTTGCATTTTTTTCTATTGTACAACTCAAGCAGAAAAAATATATTACCGACCATAATTATATACTTTTCATTTAAGAATGCCGAGTTGAATGCGATGTCATTTCTCAGCCGACTTATTCGTCATTAACAATTAGGTACCTAAGTCACGAGAGCCTAAACCTTGAATGATCTCATACGTAATGATAGACTCTGCATCATTTCACTGCCGCATTAACCACGCTCACGAAGATGTTTATTTCCGGAGAATTCTTTGCTGTATAGAAGATCCAATTGTGTGTATGATATCAATTCGAAAAAATTCACACGGCTCATACGGTGAATATTATGGATTATTGTGCATACTGCTGTCATCATCCCAGCATACTGCTGTCATCATCCTCGCATACTGCTGTCATCATCCTCGCATACTGCTGTCATCATCCTCGCATACTGCTGTCATCATCGCATACTGCTGTCATCATCCTAGCATACTGCTGTCATTTTCCTCGCATACTGCTGTCATCCTCGCATACTACTGTCATCATCCTAGCATACTGCTGTCATTTTCCTCGCATACTGCTGTCATCCTCGCATACTGCTGTCATCCTCGCATACTACTGTCATCATCCTAGCATACTGCTGTCATTTTCCTCGCATACTGCTGTCATCCTCGCATACTACTGATATTTTACATACTTTCATTTTCTCTCTACCGTGCATATCATGCATCAGTCCAACCCCGCATAATTTTACTCAAAAGTTTCACCCATATATAAATTTAAAAAATGTAATTCTTCCGCAATAATTTTATAATAATAAATATTTTATTCTTCCTGCACTTGTATAATTATGTTCTATTTTTCTAACTCTATTGATCTGATTATATTATTCTAATTATATTATTTAATTCTATTATTTTTATTTTATTATTCTAATTCCATTATTCTAGTTTTATTATTGTAATTGTTTTAATTCTATACAACGAAGTCCTATGACAAATTATTGAGGTGCACAAGGCCTAGCCCAACTCGCGCGACCTTGGTTCTCCCACGCTCTCTCTTGGATCTCTCTTCCTCCTCTCTTTCTTTCTCTCTCTCTCTCTTTCTCTTTAATACCACCTCGCTTATTTCCTGGGTTTCCTAAGCAACGGGAAATATTTACTCAGATACAATACACGCTACGTGCTTAGCAAGGCGAATACTGAGATGACGTCATGCAGGTGTGGCCGCGGCAGAGCTTGCCGACGAACCACGATTGATTTTCATGTTGCTATTCTTTCTAATAAAATTAAAAACTTTTTTTTTTCACGCAATCTTTCATATAATAAGTTTGTGCTTTGTATATGTTCACTCGTCGCTTAAAGCGCTGTAGTTTTTCGATCAAATAAATGAATACTAAATGAACACATTTGTTGTTGCGATGCCACTCTAGCATAGCACACGGTCACCAGGCATGTAATTGTGTCTTTATCTCAAATTTATCTTAATTTCCAGGATTTTCTTGAATAGGTAATCACTTCAAAAATTTAATTGCTTATTCACATAACATTTCGTACCCAGTTTCTTGGGTATAAGTAGCAATAGTTAACATTTGAGTGCGAGAGTGACCACGTTTGCTACGAGACTCTATGGCACCACAGCACGAGTGCGGGCACTGTGGGTGCGTCGTGCGTCTGGCAGCACCTGCTTCACGGCCACATTTACACTCGCAAAACTATCAGTATTAATGTCTATATTACGTGACATTAAGTGTGACATTAACAATGAGTATTTAATGTCACTCGTTTGGCTCAATAGAAAATTTCATGTCGTTTCCGATAAAGATACGGTTAATTAATTTTTTCAACAGAAAATTTCACATTGTTTCCGATAAATACATGGGTATTTATAGCGTATTTTCTCTTTATGGAAAAATGCGCTATTGTGCTCGCCATGTCCGTCTGTCCGTCCGTCCGCCTGTCTGTCCGTCCGTCCGTCTGTCCGTCCGTCTATCTGTCCGTCCGTGACGTCACGTTTTCGTCGACGAGAAAATGCGCTCTCTGTCACTCACTGCAGTGAGTACTGAGTTATATTAAAAATTTAAAAGCAAAGAATAGTCCACAAAAATTCATATCTTTATAGAAAACGTTTCGGAGTCCAGCTCCATCGTCAGTTCATAGAATCTAGAACATACATAGAAAGTCACAAGTTAATACAATTGAAAGCACAGAACACAATTAGAACCTAAATTTACAAGTAATAGGGCATAAAAACCTATCTATTCACAATTTCAAGGGGATAGGAGCTCACAGCTGAATTTAAACTGGGCCTAAGCTTAAAAATGTACAATGATTCTAAGATACGCAAATCTGAAGTACCGGAGGTAGAAGCTAACACCCTAAAGTCACTGTCAGAAACAGGCACATCACACTGCTCGGCGTGAGTGCGCACAGCCGAATGAGGGGGGCGCGATAGCAACTGTCCGGTCCTACAACTCCTGCCCTTATGCTCAGCGATCCTGGAATAAAGATTGCGTGAAGTCATACCGACGTACGCAGATGCACATTGTGCACAACGAAATTGATAAACCAGGGACGATCGCATATGAACAGGGAGCATATCTT